ATTCCCTTTGGAAAACACAGGCCCAAACTGGGCTGATAAACAGGATATTACAAGAGGACGGAAGGCCTATAAGTAAGACATCAAGAAGCACCACTAAACCACACGACTTTCGCTGGCTCCCAGGTGACAGTACCACCGTTTGACGGACGAGGTTTTCCAGTCCTTCTCCAGTGTTTTTCGATCAAAGACAACGTTTCACAGCGACAGTTGCTCTGAAGACGAGCCTTGAACGTCGTCTCCATACTTGCGCTGGCGCATGGCCAGTCGCACGCCTAATCATAACCAAGCGCACCACTTGTCTGACCCCCTCTTCTGCTGGTTCTCTATCGCTGAGTGCACATTCCGCTGCGGACCTCGACATCAACAGAAATGCTGTACCTTTAGGATAGCGTGCTCGGAGTATGGAGGGCACTCGGGCATCCTGTATACTTTTGAGCGGAGAAAAAGGCACGCTACTGCAGCTGCGGTACGTTCGTCACATGACAGGGACCGTCTCAATGGTGAGTGTAGATTTTGCTCTGAAATGAGACATCGCCTTCCATGTGGTCCAGCGATTCGCCTTCCGCACGACCCACCCTGGCGGGATAGCTGGATAGGGTGAACCGTCCAGAAGGCGATTCGATCCTCATCGAAAACCGCTCCACTAGTAAGCGGCTCCGTTTGCTAGTACACCGCTTCCGCGTGGGTTCGCAGCGTCACTTCCCAGAAGCGACATCGCAGTACGAGTTGACTTGGGCGATAGAGTCGAAGCCATCCCAACTGACAGCGGTGCTGCGCATCAACTCATAATTTGACTTGTACTTCAATGCTGCGACTGGGAAGGTACACACCTCCTCCAAGGTTACGAGAATTGTAATTTGTCGCGCTAGCAGGCGTGCTGAGCAACGCTGCACTGCGATAGACGACTTTCCCTGCTGAATGGTGGTTTTAACAAATTTTAGAGGAACGGGAAAACGTGCTCCATATCGTCAACCATGATAGCAATAGACTGTATGGGAAATGGCCAAAAAACGCGGGGATCAAATTTCAAAAAAAATGTAAAAAAAAAAATTGTGCAACGATTCCCGGTAGTACGCGACTGCGAAAATTGAAGTTATCGGATCGGGATGTAGTATGGCTCATTCGATAGAGCTTGAAAAATTGATAAAGGGGTTCCGAGGTTATTTTACTTGTTTTAGGGTTCTACGGTGTGTTATGGGTGTTCAAAGATGAAAATCTAGTGTGAGGGTCAGAGGGGGGTGTTTTTGGAGAAATATCACTATATCTCGTGAGACACAGGTGGTGAGAGGGCCAAACCCTGGCCAGAGCAGGGTGAGGTCTTGGTCAACAAATTCGACCAATCAGAGATATTGGGGGCGGGGCTTAGAGAGCGCAGCTGGCTGTCGGGCGGCCGAGCGTGCCTTCCAGCCGGCGGCTCGGTGGATTATGGAGCGTGGCGATGCACAGGATCATGTAAACAGCGTGAATTTCTCAGAAAGGAGTAATGTTTGCAGTGGGATAGTTCTTGTAGTTTCCATAGGAATTTCTTCTAGGGGAAAATTTGCCTAATTGCATTATTAAAGAGTTTTGTGTTTCTGAATGTCTGGGTATTGGAAATATGCCTTCAAAACAATAATAAGAACTCCCGTAGATACTCTTATGAATATGCACTGCTGAAATAAGTTTTTTGCTTTTGTAGACCACACTGATGGGCCCATTAAAGAATTTGGCTGTCTGTGGTTGAAAGGGCGAAACAGCCGTTTGATAAACCGTGTTATTATTCGTGTATTTCAGGTGACAACTTCATGTTTGCCTCTCTTTCAGCTGTGAGGTGAGCAATGTATGGAAAACCTTTCTGCATAAAGTTGTTAGCTTGTTAGTTGATTGCACTGGCGTATAGCGCCCAGGTGTAGCACCTGAAGATACTACCGCTCACATGGGTACCTGAGGATAGTCGTATACAAGGGAGGGGAAGGCATGATTACTCAAGAGTTCAACCTGCGCTCAGTAGCCCAGCATACTTGTCACTTATAGTGACGCTTATATTTGTTCTTATTAGTGAAAAATACATTCTGTCTCCAGGTTTGACTGCTTTTAGAAGTTCCTATTACGTGAACTTCAAGCTCTTATTTGTCATCCTATTCTCTGTGGGTTTGTGTATCGTTTTCTTTGTAACGTTGTATTTTCTGTTCAGGGAGTGTATAGGACGTTGGAGAATGTCGACGACCTGTGTAGTATTTTCAGTGAAAAATGTACGTTCCACCAGAGCTGGTTGACGATGACGAGCTCACTGAGTACAAAGAGAGACTGGACAGAGTCATATTATTAAATATTATGGTAGTGGCCACAGTGTTGCTCATTGTGCTCTTTTGTGTGATGGTGAGTTTGATACTAGATCATTTGCATATCGCTTTTGTTGCTCAGCTAACTTATACTGATTCAGAAGCAATGTCGCGATGCGGTGTGTGGAAGGAACAGGACTGACGAATGAAGAAACACTGAGACTGTTGAGATCACGTATTATAGAAATATATAGAGATTAATAAATTATTCCTCATTGAGTGTTTCGCCATTTTCTACATTGAATTGCTGTTCAAAGCGACAAAGATAAACAAAGAGTTCGGTAGACCCTTGTAGTAATGAGCGAGGGCTTTTTTTTAAAGCTGATGTTGGTCCGTCATCAAAGAAGGGTAATAGAAAGATCGGTGAGTTTTAGGCATCAGAAAAGAACCGCATGTCGCACGTAGGCGTGACTTTGGGTGGGGGAACCGTTCCTAAATTTTGAGCTTCATCGGTTAAGTGTGACGCGAACTGGATACCCATGAACATGCTGGAGCAGCACCGCGATTTCAAGCAGCCGCGGCGAGCTGTGTGTGGCGTCGACGGGCACCGTCGGTGCGCATGGCACCATTAGGGGGCACATCAATTGGGGTGATGCAAATTT